TCTGAAAGGTCCAAGTTCTTCAGAGGATGCGCATGTCCCAACCACAGCCAAATCTGCTAGCAACTTGCACAGCGCCTGTATGGAAGAACCTGGTCCCACTCATAGTTGGCCTTTTTACTATTGGTTGGTCAATCAACGGACCCTCAAGTGTACAACCACGTATAGGTAATTAGTCGTATAGGTATATGGTACCAAACCGTCCCCTCTATTTTATGATTAAAGGCCACCGTTGGTCCCACTCTCCAACCAACCATCCAACAAAGCCGAAGCCATGAGGTCAAGGCAGCTGTGACCACCGAGAATGGTCAGACACGAGTTTGCCACGTGGATGTCGCTTCGTCCGCACGGCCGGGGCTTCGTCCACACCGGCGGGGACGTGGCTGATCACACCTGTGTCAACCTTGGAGTGAGGAATGAATCATGGTTGACACACATCAACATCATTACTCCATTACTACATGGCTTGACCATAAGTTGGCTTACTTTTTTATTTATCACTCCCTGTAGATGGCCCCATGGTTACGTAGATGGCCGCGATTTCGGATGACCATTTTGCCAACCAACCGGTGGTGAACTCCTCTTCCATGATTCCAGGGAGCGTCAGGGATACCGGCTTAGCTCTCCATCGCTCATGCCTGGAGATGTAAAACGATTCTGGAAGGGGGAGTTGATTCATCAACAGTCATTATTCACATTAGACTTCAGATGAGCTTATACATAGTTCACAGTCTGTGTGGGCCTCCGTGCCGGGCTCTCAAGATTGCTAGACATGTAGTCGCAGAGGAAAATACGGTGGAAAAGAGCCAAGTGTGGATTTCTTTTGCACTCCTTTGCAAGGTCTCTCATCAGTCAATGTTTTATATCCAAGCTAGGCCAAACAATGGCAGCCAAGGCAGCACCTCGACAATTGGGGCTACTGAAGCTACCAGTGTCTTGGACAACGCCGGTCTGCCCAATGCACGAAAAATTGTGCAGATCCGGATGAGGAAAGAACCATGTTTGCTGGCTGAAAACCCTCTTGGGTGCATCCCCTCGCCTTCCATCCGTGTTTGATGTTTGGCACCCCAAACTGTGAGATGCTCGACTCAGAAGCACTCACAACCATGAAGTTTTGCTCGACCTGTGTTTGCTTCACCAGGGGTGGTGCCCATGGTACCAGGATCATCCAATTTGGGTGTCCAATGGAGTACCCTCCACCACAATCCGGGATCTCCAGACAGGGCAGACCCAGACAGGACGGTCCAGGTAGAAAACGCTTACTGTACAAAGAGCAGCTTGCAAGTAACGATAGGGGGCCTCACAAACTGGCCGACGTAACCACCACACAGAGGAAAGTTCGACCAAACCTCATTTTGGAGTTGGTTGAAGTTAAAGAGCCCTAAAACTTTGCCATGTGTTTGCTACTTGATCCCTTTGCAGCACGCATGCGCATGGACAAGTGGAACCTGGTCCTTAAATGAAATATTTGGCAAAGCTGGTTGCGTCAGCAGGGGTGCAGTCTCTCCGGCGTTCGCCGGTGCCACGCACCGAATCCCAGTCGACCGACGCCACGACGCCGTCCAGTCACAGTCCGATTCCCAGTGGAACGTCCCAAAGATGCTCCTGAGTACCGAGAAAGTCTCCCAAGACCTGAAGAGAAGACCTGAGGCGTCTTCATTTCAAGCTAGCTCTACATACGTAGACCTGGATCCATCGGAATGACCGGGTGCGACCAGTCTCTGGGTGCGGAAGATCGATGTTAGAAGGGCCTCGTCCTGTAGAGCACCAAAGGCGTGAAGTGGCAAATTCATCAATTTGATGAAGCGGTATCCTTTGAAATAGCCTTGTCGTTCCGTGACTCCTTACGCCGATGTTGGCCGAGGCCAACGCCGTTTTTGGGCCTGAGCGCATGCAGAGCGTGGCCGTGATTGAGGAGGACCAATGGTGTGAGGTCAAGGGGCTCTCAGTGACCGTGACCACCAAGAAGGCGCATGAGAAAGTGCTTTTGGCTTCTCAGCCGCAGCCGGGATGCATGTTTTTTGATTGAAGAGAACTACCTGATGGTGGTTCGGCCAATTCGCCTGGCGGTTGGAGAGCTGTTTTCGGCCCATTCGACGATCCGTTCGTCCGAACGAACGATCCCAGGTTTGGAGCACCAACTTCAATCCAGAAGAGTTGACCTACGAAGCCTACTTCACCGTCTCCTGGTCTTTGGTTGGTGTTTCTTTGTATTGTTTCCTCATCTTTGTTACTCCACATTTTTGGACACATAAATGGTGTCCAACAATAGCCCCCTGGAGGTCAAGGCAGGGGTGTTGATGAACCATCTCTTGAGGGGCCTTGGTATAGGTTCCGGACATTTCCTGCAATAAGCGGCACATCAAAGGTCTTCCGTTCCAGCAGCAGTGGCCTGAAGAACCTCGGGGGCGAGGAGCAGGGCTTGTGGTCTGTCGCCAGCTCGGCGTCGGGCTCGAGCGAGTACCCGGCTTCTATGAGCAGCTTGGTGGAAACAGATGATTCAGGTGATCAGAAGTTTCGTTCCTTATTACCAACTGAACTAATTACAACCCATTGGGCCCATATCGTTAATTTATCCTGTCATAATTATTATATGTTGCTGCCTGCATTGAAATTCTCCAACGACTCCAACTATTACCCCAAACTCCCAGGTCCACTGAACACAGAGCACCAGAAATCCCCAGAGAGGAACACCCATGTAGCGAGCCGCTTCGGCCAAGCTCTTTGGGTTTCTTCAAGCTCGGTTCGATCACCGGTTTTGCGGTTAGATGAGACTCAACTGCCATCATGCCCCAGGACAGTTATCCCAGGCCAGGCTATAAAGTCTTCAAACAAATTATAGCCCACGTTCTGGGAGCTAGATACTCTCAGAATCTCTCAGATGTAGTTCAGTGGAATGTGGAAAGCACGGCAATGTGTACCGCAAAAAACCAGGAGACTCCATCCAACAATGATTGTTGAAATGAGCAGATCATAGGCTGAACATCTGGAATTCTCCAGAAGTCTCATCCAGCACCTTCCCTCAGGTAGTTAATCTCCAGTCGTCGTCGTGAGGTAGATGTGTCCAGCCCCCCAACTGAGCCAGTCGTCGCGCCTTCCTTCGCTCGTGCCATCCCTTTCCAACCCCTAGGGATCCAAGTACCCCTAGGCAGAACAGTGTCTCCAATCACCTTCTGAGGAGGTACTTGGATCCCTTTCCAACCTGATGTTTTTCCTCCTGTTCCACCCACTCGCCCGGTCCCCCTTTGCCTCGGTGCCAGGCATCGATGCGCCGGGCGTGGGGACCTTCACCTACACCGTGTATTGCCGTAGCAAGCGCTGTGGTAGCTTGCCAGAGCCCACACGCGTGGAGCTTGGGCCCGATGGTTGCTTGGAGGGACGTGTTGGGTCGGGGGCAAGGCTTCATACACCACAGAGTGGTACGTGGAATTTTTGCTGCTGGACTAGACTAGGGATCCATATTATCTTCAAGAAGGACTTTGGCGAGAGAAATGCTGTAGCTTTGGGAGTGAGGATTTGGTTGATTCTAGGGGGGATCATGAGGGATCTGATCTCCTCTCCGTACTTAGATTGGCAACTGTAGGCCAACGCTGCCCTTTTGCTGGTCCGTTTTCAGGGAGTGTACCCCTAAGTTGTCTTTGTGAAGATGTCAGGGGGTGTACAGTCTAATAACCTTCAAGACTCAGAGGCCACCCAGCTGGATGAGTCATGCTGGTGTGCCACCGGGAAACCACGTTGTGGGGGAGAGTTCCAACAAGTGCATGGCTGACCCCCAGTGCTCACAAAAAAAGTGATCATTGTGTGGCAATGGACTCGGGTCGGCCGATCGGCCTCAAGGCCACATTGCAGCAGCCTTGCTGAATGCGAAAGCATCCGAGAGCCGCACGGTCGTGGAGATGATGGGTCGGGAGATGGACGCAGCCAGAAGTGAGAAATAGACTCAAAGAGAGACCTTCGCATCCAGCCAAGATGCGTGATCAGACAGGCAAGAGGCATCAACAGGCCAGGTGTGAATACTTAGCATGATCAACTATATACACAGAGAACACAACACTTGTTGATCAATACTGGGTAAATGTTCATGATTCATGATGATATCTAAGCTTCACGATCATGAAGCCCACTACAGTCAGCAAAGCCAACAATGCGAGGCACAGAATGCGTGGCCAGGTGGCGTTCGATTGACATTGCACCGGTTGCAGTTTGTGGAGAGCAGCGCCATCTTCCGAAAAAGACATGTTCGACGCATGTGAGTCCACGTCGTTTGCGTTTGGGCAGAGGGTGGCCGACAGTTTGCACACTTTGGCGTGCTCATTTTGGGTAGACGAGCCACAAACAGTGTGTAACATCGAGAATGCCCCTGATGACTGAAATGGCCATCAATGCTGCAGAAACAGTGCCACTAAGTGGGTATGATGACGCAATGTGACACCCGAATTGGTAGAAAATAGACGGGAAATCGTAACCCACAAATGGCGTTGACACTGAGACTTTTGCAGATCGAGTGGTTGAATTGGTGGTTTACAACAGGAAAGGGGCACGGTCTCTACAGGGTTGGGGCTCCAATTTGTGATGGTGCCCGCTATTATTGTTTACTGCCTAGTCTTTGTATATATATATATGTGTGTGTGTGTGTAGCTGTATATATATATTATATTATATTTATATACATCCACTCATATCATGCTTGCCGCTCGCTGGCTAGGTTTCGCTGTTGACGTCTACTTCGGAGTATGATTTTCATTGGCTTATCTCATCTCCATGTCACCCAGGCTTTTGGACCCACTGGCGCCCACCAGAGGTATACGTTGGGTCTGTCCTATGACTAGCCTATGACCTGTAACAGTCAGTCAACAAGCAAATCACTATTTTGGAACGTTCGGCCTGCAACTGAACCATCATCATCCACTGGGTCCCGTTGTCGACTCGGATGGACCGACTCCGTCTCATCCGTCTCGGGTCCGACAGTCCGACGCTCTGCTCCACGGATCCCGATGCTCCAGGAGCGCATCTGCAGGGTGAAGCCTCGCGTGCACGTCTTCGGACACTACCACCTGGGCCGCGGGGCAGAAGGAAGCAACGTCACAGGGCTGTCCCAGTCGGAGGTGGTCGGAACATCGGAACAGGTCGGAAAAAGCATCATGTTTGGTGGACGAATGGAGGATGGATGAATCCAAAGGAATTGGAAGTGATTGTTATACATTCAGAATGTATATAACCATCTCCAACCTACTTGACGGCTACAGAAGGTCATTGATGGACGCATGTTCTCTGTTTTCAAGGTCATGGCATTTCTTTGCAGGAGGCGTGCTTGGTCCAGGGGCTGTTGAGAGTTGAGGGCATTGTGGGTGGCTTGAGGTACAAAACAACAGTATGAGAAAGATTCCTTCACAGCATTGACTGTGGGCGGTGTGATTAAAGGTAGAGGTGAAAACATGTCTAGCAGTCTTGGCTCCTATATGGGTGATTCCTGGTGGTTTCAAACCCATGTGGCTAATGGTTAAAGTTGTCCATTCATGTTCCACAACGCCCTAAGCTGTGTTTGACCTCCTGTAAGAAAGAGAGAGAGAGAGAGACTGCCAATATATGTTTTGTAGATATATATATATATCTGTGTGTGTGTAAATGTATATTATATATATAGCCAATGACCCTGTTTGGCTTACCAGTTGCCTTCAAATATGGCACAACATGTCCCATCTTTCCAGGTGTTGTCATGAAGTCCCAGAGCCACAGCCTATTCCGATCCACGGCAGTTTTGGGGAGTTGGATGTATGTTTGTCCCATTTACTTATATATATATATATTCATGGGACGAGACCCGCAACCTTTAGGCGTGGTCGGGTTCATGGGACTGCCATATATGCCATCCCATTGACCCCTTTCCAACCACCCCAACTGATCGGCATATATGGCAGTCCCATGGGTCGTGTCTGGGGTATAGTAGTACACGGTAACCCCCCCATTCAGATCTTGTGACGTCTCAGTCTGCCCGCCCGGAGGTGATTGAAGTCAACGCGCAGGGAAGCCCAGCTGAGCTGGGAGGATGGGGCACAGACTTACTGTAGAGATTTGTGGCCCTGCTTAGTGGCGTTGTTTTTTGGGGGGGCATCCCCGCAGCTGAATGCCTTTTGATGCGCGCCATTTGCATGGACTTTGGGTCCTAACGACATCAATGATGGTAGTTCAAGATGTTGTGAATGCTAGATTCTAGACCTGTTATTTTCAGCATTTGTCGAATCATGAATGATATAGACGACATGACAAGGGTTCCAGCCCTTTTAGATCAGTGAATCAGTGAACATGATTCTCCAATCAATCCCAGCCAAGTAGGCGCCATGCCGGATTATGCCAGGGTATTTCACTCCAGGACTTTCCATGACATATTTATATATATATATTGACATTATATTGACCAGAGGTGCAAAGGCACATGTTTATACAACTGAACAATTGGAATGACTAGGTTGCAACGACTGCCTCCCAAGCAGTCGTTTTGACCTCTACGCGGATTTGCAGGATGACGCGCTGAGGTCCTCTGCGGACGCGCTGTTCGCAGTGACTCATCCACCAATCATTTTGGATATCCAGCCGCGCCGAAGGGCACAAAAGGAGCCGAAATGCTAAGACAGTCTTGGCCCCATAGGACTTCGGGCTGTTTTCATGACCAAGGGCAAATGAGTTACCATGAGTTACCATCTCTATAGTTGAAGAACGCTATGTACTTTTGTGTTTTTTGCATATGCCACACGAGTCCATGTTCTCACTTGGTATTGGGAAGTTTCTTCTGCAGCTACATCGATCACATGGAGAAGTGGCCTTGCCGCCCTGAACGGCTCAGTTCAAGGACTTGAAATCAGGAGCTTCTTGCGGAAAGAAAGCCTCGCGCAGCTGCAACACTCCGGAAGCCTTAGGACAAAGAGCATGTTTCAAAAGGAAAGATTGCCGAACATATGAGGCCTTTTGAACCAGATGCACCAACCATCCTGGACTTCTGCTGCAACTAGCCAATTATAGGACTAAATCGTATAGGGACACGCTTGGCATTTGAAACTTCAAAGGAACCGTCCCAACAGTATGGTTCACCACCGAACTGTTCACCACCACCACCGACGGGACCTAGCTGACCTTTTTCGCCTCACAAGGGCCTTCACAGAAAAAACGCCATGGCACCATGTTGGGGGGGCTCCTGGCGGCCTTTGCGACGACACCTGGCATGCCTGGCATGCGGCGGTTTTGTGCGGGGAAGGGAAGTGATGGGCGGGTTTCAGCATGCTGCATGTAGCTGTGAAAGAGGATGTTCGGGTTTAAAGGTGCAGTTGTTTTTTCTCACTGGTGGATTTTGCAGTAGATGTGTTTGGCCCTATATGCCTGTGTCACTTTGCCTATGGCCCTATATGCCGAATTTTGCTGGCGGCATTGGCGCAGTGCTTGCTCAACTGGTTCACACGTAAGAATGCCATCCAGAAGCCACAGGGTGGATCACCCGTGAGGTCAGTCGGGAACATGCTTGGCACGGGTCAATGTTGCAAACGGTTTCAGCGCAAGCCAGTATTCGACATTCGACTCAATGTGCAGATCCAACTGACCTGCCCAGTTTAGTTCCCAGACACTCCATGGGACTGCCATATATGCCATCCCATTGACCCCTAAAACCAACCACCCCTGGCCTGATCGGCAGTCCTATGGCAGTCCCAGACGGGTCGTGTCTGGGGTTGGTAGAATCCAGATGATTTGAATTCTGGTCACGGCTCAAGAGTCCTCATTGAGGCTTCGGTGTGCTGTCAGCCTTCACGCGACGACCCGCCCGCGGTACATCTACTTGATCCTCAACTTTCCCAATCGCATCGTCCGCACCGACATCAACGGCCAGAATCAGGCAGCACGCATCGGAATCCGGGGTTGAGGCATGAGGATGGAACACATAGAAACAACACACCAAGGACGCACCCGTTTACCATGGGGCGAACTGGGCGAACATTGGAGATGAACAGGGCAGCCCATGCGAAGAGTATGCGAAGATGCGACCTGTGCTTTCTACGAGTCACTCGTCCCTTCTATAGATGAAGTAAAAAAAGAGCGATGGCCTCCAACAAACAGAGCGAAGGGCTCCTACGAGTCACTCGGTTTTTGTAAAATGTGTCGGTGATTTCCGTTTCTTCGCCCGGCGACATCTCGTCCCCAGTCCTCTCGTCACGCGATTTCTCGACCCAAGCGGCACGGAACAGACACCGGAGGAACTGACCTTCTCACCACGCGACCCCGCCGACATGGCCCAGGTGGTGCTTCTGGAGGGCTTGGGCCATCCGTGGCCTGGAAGAAGAAAGGTCAGTAGGTGGTGTTGCTGTAAGTGGGATGACTATCCTCAGCAACTACTACGTGTCAGGGTGCGGCTTCAGCCACACATCCAATCAGACTGACTCGTTCGAGGGGGAACTACTGTAGTTGTTTTACCACGTCTTTGCCTACATACTGTCAGTAAGTTAACTGTCGAGCTGGTCCAGAGGATTTGAACTTCAAAAAAAAAGACACCAAGAGAACTCATAGGCAACTACTCTGTGATCAAGCCTGTTTCTCTTCAACACATACCAAGTGAGGAACCCGCAAAGGTGCCGGTGCCTGGACTTGGTCATAAAGCATTTTCTCTCCTTGAAACTTGTTAGCTGAAATGGTTCACCAGATGTTGAAGAAGTTGGTTGATAAAGAATGTGTTTGGCCAGAATTGTGCAAAGCCTAATGCCTTGAACAATATCTTGAACCGTCCATGGCTATAAACATCCAGTCGTTTATTTGTCCACCCTTGCCCTGGTGCACTTCACCAGGCACGCGCTTGCTGTGGATGACTTCCACCGGAAGATGTGCTCCTTCCGCGTTATTGCGGTTTCTAACCGGTTAGAAACGTGTAAGGAAGTTGCTCACGTGCGCTCAAGTCTATGCCTATGCGTTGATGGTCCATTTCTTTATGGCTCACCTCATTGCAATGGCTGGCATTTTTGACTTTGGTTACATCCTTGAGATGAGAAGCCATGAATCCCAGGAATCCTCCAAAAGAACTTAGATACCCCAGTACCATCCAGTACTGAACCTAGCCACTTCTTTCTCCGCAGAACGCCCTGGCACCGCCACCGACGACGCCAGGTACTTCGGCGTCTCCGACGACGCCTCCGACCGGCTGATGCGCTCCGACCTCACGGGCCGGAACGCGGAGGAGCGGGGGCTGAGAGGCTGAGCGGAGCGGAGCGTGGAGGAAGGTGAGGACGGGAGGTGTGTGTGCATATATATATATAGTAATATATAAATATATAACCCAAAAATATGAGTGATCACCAAATAGATTAGTGGCTAGTGGCACGGTTTCCAAGACATGGTTAGTGGGGATCTACTTTTCTATCCAGTGGTGTGTAGTAGTCCAGTGCTGGCTAGCTGAGGTGACCATGAAGGGATATTCCAGGTGTGACAGCTAGACTGTGCCCAAAAAGGGAGAGAGAAAGAGGGAGACTCAGAGACTTGTGAGAGGTGCGGCATGTCAAATTATTTTGAGAGAGATACATGTGTCCCACAGCAAGCCACGAGATGTGCAGATGATAGCTTTGCCGCTTTGCCGGTTGCAAGATGTTGCCTTAAATACGTCTATGCCTATGCAAAAGTTGTCAATGCAAGCTACATTTGCACTGTAGATGTTGTTTCAGTATGTTTCGGTGTCTTGATAAGCACCTAAAAGGGGTGCCTCTTGATTTACATTGCCAGGGAGAGCATGCTCCACTGCCACACGAGCAGGTTTCCAGCCGCCCTGCAACCCACTGGGCCCAGGTGTTCCCCTGCCCCTCGTGCCCTCGCCCCAGGAGCTGGTCCAGGGCGTCCACGTCGGAGGCGTCGCGGTGGATCCGCACGGCGGAGCCGTCTATTGGACGGTGGCTCGGTGCGGGTGCGGTGCGGCTGGGCTGTGGGCTGCCAGTCAACCTGTGTTTTTTCCCAGCTGGTGACCTTGGAGCACCTTCCTGTGCCGAATCCCACAGGGTGAATCCCACTAGAAGCTTTCCTCAAGCTGCTTGGCCCTCTCACTGAAGACGGGCCTTTTGTTCCCCCCCCCCGGTGGTCACCCGCCGCTACGGCGGCTCCCACGCCCTCGAGGAGTTGGACCAGGGCCTGGTGCAGCGCGCTCGCTTGGATGGCTCACAGGTGGAAACCTTGGTGTCCGGCCTCGAAGATCCAGGCGTGCACCGTACCGCGAGAGGGTGCCGGGTCGGTTCTTTCCCTTTTTGGTATCAGGGAAAGACCGTTGATACAAGGTGTTCAGTATTCAATACCAAGCCTGTGTGGTAATCATGTGGTTACCTTATTATGTTACCTTTAGTGGCTTCAGAGTTCACAGTAGAACTCCTATTGGAGTTAAAAACAGTTCCAGCAGGTAGGTGTCCAGCATCTGGGAGCGAACCGGTGAATGGGGAGACTTTAGGAGCTCAGTTCCAAGAAGTCGTACAGTCCAACCACAGTGGATTCCGTTGTGGGTTCTACTTGAAAGAACTTCCAGAGTTGTAGAGTTCAAAAAGCCATTGGAGATCTTCAACTTGTGTTTCACAAGGCCGCATCTTCACAGAGCTTCGATTTTGGGCGCAACCGTGCAGGTGGGCTGGACTTGGACCTCCATGTCACTTGGCCAAAACTTGACTAAAAGATCGATCACATCAAAAGACAAGACCAGGAGATCCAAACGCATATGCTGCGTGTATTTGGGTTGGCTTATTGGTGAAGGTATGCCTGTAATCCACCGCTTTGCGGTTCAAACCATGTTGGGATTCACATGTAAAGCACCACGTGGACAAAGCAAGGGATTTATAGGGGTTGGTCGGTTGATGTGTTTGCATCCATTTTGAGACCCTTGATTTGTCTCGGGTTTGATACTTGGCGATGAAACGTTCAGCTCAAGATAGACGAGAATGGTTTGGACGCCGAACCCTGTCTCCCCCTTTGGCCACCAAATCCAGCTAAGCTAGACACACGCTGCAAAAATGCTGGGTTAAAGATGGTTAAAGCCATTGAACATCCAGGATCCCGCAAAGATGCGTTCTCTGCATATTTGCATATATTTGTGTTATTTTTGGATATAGTAGGCACTGTGCAGAGCCTCTATTGTGTCGGTTTCAGTCGGGTTCCAAGTGCTCACTCAACGGGCCACTAATACCAGGGAGGCTTTTTCATTAAGAGGTTGGTGCAATACCGTTGGATCGATTAGACTTGTACACGCCAGCAGGCAAGTATTTAGTAAAGACTTTGTTGGATTTTTGGTGTATACTGATGTTGGACTTGACTCGTATTGACTAGTCAACTGTGATTTGCATTGATCAACCAGCGCATTTTGCGTGCATTTACGGCATTCCTTGAGAAGCCCAACACAAAGGTACCCAGCTGGCCCCCAAGCCCTATGCCACCAGCTCAGCATTGCTGCTACATCTTGGTGTGTGTTTAGCTAAAAGTGACCATGGATTTCGGGTTGCTCCAGCTTTTCTTCGGCTTCTCTAGGAAGGACAAGTCTTTTGGTGCGACCAGACTGGCTGGGAACGGCGCAAGGGCAGGACGGTGAAAGCACGGGCACGGGCACGGTCGACTCGGAAAATCCCTTATCCTCGGTTTTGCCTAGGGTGCTTCCTTTCCGGTAAAGGTTTTATGTTTTCCAGTTCCTTGAGCAAAGGCTCGAGGCTTGCAGTTTTACATAGACTCCATAGATAGACCCCCCAAATGACCGGCAAAATGTGTGTGTGGCATTTGGCGCCTTATTGTTCATGGGACCAGAGTTTGAGCAAAGCCAACATGTTGCCCAATTTGGGTTTATAGTGCGGCAGTGGCCAAACTCAGCTCAACGCACTCGGGTACATACGATTGAAAGAACAGTTGCCATGGCATGGTCCATGGTTTATGTGCTAGATGTCTTGACCACCATCCCTTGACCAACATGTGGAACTCCCATCCATCACCGACGTCCTGTCGGGCCATCTTCATTCGTACTTCGCCCTGAAGAGGCGACTGGGACCTGACTGGTTCAAACATGTGTCCTCAATGCTTCATGCCAAATACGATCCAAAACGCTTCAGTACTCCGAGGTCATTCCAGGTCTTTTCGGTTTGATCTTCGATCCATAGCCCTCTGGTCGATCCACCGGTGGTTCCAAGCTCGACTCACCGGCGTAGCTGGCCCGGAGGATCCAGAGGTCTTGGCTGAATGGATCAAATGTCACAGACCTCCGCGAGACGTGCCTGGGAGATCAAGCGGTGACTGTTACCAGCAGTGACAGGTGAACGTGACTGTTACCAGCAACTACAGGCATGACTGGCTTAGAAGATTCGACTTCTTTTGGGGGCGGGAAGGGAGATGGAGATGATCCGTCATCCTGGTGTTGGTTTGCTCAAGGCAAAGCGGCAAAGCCGGCTTGTTTGGGATATCTTGCGCCTGTTTTTGGTTTTGGGCGATTGTGTTTGGAAGTTTGGGAGCTGTTTGGGATTGGTTGTTTGATGCGTCATGTACCTTGGTAACAGTCGACCATGTAGTCGCCCTTTCTGGATCTTTTTTGCTCGTCTCCGAAGGACTACTTCAAGTGGGTGTGTGTTTGGTGTTCGCCCTGACAACCATGTTCAGCCCCTTCAGGGGGGTTGTGGGCCCTCCTTCTTTCAGTGTAGTCACCACCGCAGTGTACCACCGTCGAGACGCCGAGGCAGTTTGTCCGATGTGTTTTCCACTGAGGCCATTTCCGATGGACGTGGCCGTGGATCTGGCACATCAGCAGCTGCATCTCGTTCCTGGAAGGCCTTTGGAACATGTTGGGCACCCTTCGTAGAGGATTCCGTGGTGGCATTTTTCAGACCAGATCGTGGTGACCATGAAGACGATCACAATGTCGACAATGTGCACCGAAACACAGCACCAGACCTAGACTCCCGAACCGTTTGGAGGATATTATATAATTATGAAATATACACACACACACACACACACATATATATATATATATATCATATATCATCACCAAATGGAAGGTTGGCAATATTAACATCATGGAACCTGACATCTTGCACCTTTGCATACCATCTTTCCTTTGCAACATGTTTCAACCGGTCTCGATGACGGCGTCACCACGGAGGACCGGCCGGGGGAACCTCGGTGGACACCGACGTCCGCCCAGGTATTACACCGACGCCGGGTCGTACGAGATCACCCGCTGCGACTTCACGGGAGCGGAGTGCGAGGTCATCTTAAACAAGACGGTGGCTTGGGTCGAATGAGGATGAACATGCCTAGCTGCAGTCATTGGGCTTGAGCGACCTGTTCTAAAGTTGTGCTTGGGGTCGAATGAGGATGGACATGAAGAGGATGGAAGAGGAGCATTCAAGCGATCCCCCCTGTGAACATGTCCTCTACAAATGGGGTCAACCAGCTGTAATGAAAATTACGAGGGTGGAAGAGGTTTGAAGATGAGCATTGTGATTTTTTGCTTAGCGGATGAGTCGGATGAGAATGGGAAACGAAGTTAGCCGGAGGTTGGAGAGATTTTGCGGCTTTCCGCACAGAAGCAACCCCGAAGATTTCTCACCCGCGATACACCGGCCTGACTCACATTTGTGTCCTTTGCTTCCCTATTGCCCCAGGTTGAAGTGAATGAGTCAGCGAAGCAGGGCAGATCCTTGGGCCATGAATTCAATTCTCGCTTCGGCACTTCGTGCGGTCTGCCGGTTCGCAGACGGTCTGTGTGCGTGGAACTGCGCGGCGAGGTTTTCACCAAGTCGTGGACGCTGTCCAAGTGACAGAGCTAGACCTGTTATTTAGAATATATGTTACGGTCGGATATTCTAATATGTTCCAACATGTTCCGACTGTCCGACGGATAATATCTATATATATATAGAGTTTATCATTCACAAAATCCGCAGAATATACTGTATGTTAATTAGATGCTTGTTCCCAAGTCCGCGACCTACCAGTGAACATATTGAGCATTTTCCTGCGTGCCCGTTCCGTGCTGCGTGCGGTGCCCGTGCGAAGGGAGTATAATATATAGTAGCATTCAGTGGTTGGAAATTTATTGTAGCCCTTGCATTACGTCTTATATACTGGCGTAAGCAACTCAAACTCAGAACAGCAACATACCTTGTGCTTGCGCCAGCTACATTATAATTAGCATGGCAGCCTGCTTCCTGAAGTGGTTTGCGCATCGATAGGGTACAGACGGATCGGCCCATCCTGTGGGGCGGAGCCTCGGCTGTGCACACGGGATTTGCTCGCTTGTGCACGCGCTACATGGTACTGTGGAAGCAAATAGCAAAAAGAGATAATCATGCAGAAGGTGTCCACAGAGACGTTATTAACGTCCCACCCACCCACCCCACCTCACCCCAACAAGAAAGTTGAATTTAGTCAGACACTGAGAATCTATGTTCACTGACCTGACCTAACAACATGTCAGGCACACATCACATCAACTCAATTTGTATGTGTGCAAGTGAGCTAAATCTGTGTGCGCAGGCGAGTTTGTCGTACCAGGCACGGTTTTGTATTGGTTTAAAACGATGTGTGTATCGGTGAGCCCATCCTGTGTGCGCAGGTGAGTTACTCTAAAAAAACATAGTGTGTGTACAGGTGAGCCAACGCAAGTGAGGCGCCATCCATCCTGTGACCACTCTAGTAATTACGCACCACTCATTAGATTTTGTCGGACGCTCATATGTATATCTACTGGCACACATCACATCGCTTCAATGGTTTTCTCGCTGCGTACACCAGACACACAAGCAAACACTGCGCTGGAAAGAAAAGAACCTTGCCTAGGCCGGGGTTTCGAACCGCCTTTGGAGGGTCAAGCCTTTGGGGCTACACCAAAGGTTCCAGCCTTTCGGGGCCACATCACAGGGCGGGGCTGCGTTGAAGGGTCAGGCCCTTTGAGGGTGAAGCTCTGTCTCAAACCTGTGGCAGGTCTTTGGAAGCGCTGGAGCTACAACAGCTCTAGAGGCTCGGGTGCTGGGCCGCAGGTGTTGGACGGTGAGTCGCTCAGTGATGATTGGGCAACATTGTGCTTGGTGTGTCCAATGTTTTGCTCGGGCCACGCGCCAGGGTTCCAACTTTACCGCGCCACAGAGTTTGATTTCTGATCAGTGGATTTTTCATCAGCGGCACTTGGGTGCGTCTGCGCTGCGAAGGGAAGCACCTGACTTGGGCCATGGCAGCCATGGCATTTGTGTAATCATGTGGAATCAACAAGCATGATAGGTAATTAGGGCCCCCCATCCTCATGTGATGTCTAGTGTATTATCGTGTGATTTATCGTTTAAAACTCGAAATAGAACTAGACTATGCACACACGATATAAGACCAAAGCGGCCCAATAACCGGGGTTGTAGTTGGACGCAGGATGTTCCAGCTCGCGAAGTGCCATGGTGGCAGATTCTTCATGACCCTCCAGGTCGATGGGTTTGGAGAAACGTTGAGCAGCTACGACATCATATCTCTGCCACGAGACGGGCGATGCGCTCTCCATGTGATTGTGGTCGCGTGGGCCACATACGGTGGGGGAAGCTGGCTCAAGAAGCCCAAATCCACATGGCCACAGAACTCGTTTGGCAGTGCATGCACGAAAGCTTCGACAAGCGGTAATTGTTTGAAGTTTGTAGATGTGTGGTGCAACCTTTGTGTGGGCACCCTTTGTTGTTAAGGGGCACGGCCCAACGGTCAGGGTCAATCTTTTTTACCTACCTTTCCGGGCATCTATAGAGGTCCAACCTGGTGGGGGTGGCCTCCACCTAACCCATATACGGACGCCATGGGATGCGTAGTCTTTTCGCTCAGGAAGCATATCGGCTTGGCCGGAGTGTGCGTGAGGAGGGCCTTGAGAGTGTAGCTCGCGCTCTGAATTACTACCTGAGGGTGTGGCACGAGGAGGAACCGCTTCAGACCTTTGGTCGCGGTTCGTGCACACTCCACGTGAACTTGTTGTATCAACACTCAGAAGACCAGGGACACTTTGACTTGATGATCCCAGTGGCCGAGGCATGGCCGCCATGGGCATGGGCTGAGACCAAGCCGCGAAAACTGCCGATCACACAATGACGCGTGTTGAGTTTCGCGTGTGTGTGTGTGTGTGTGCCACACTCTGTTTCTAAGAGTTTTTGGCAAGCAGGGCAGTACGGCTCGTCATACCCACCGTACGCAACGAAGCTATGGTATGACGATGGAAGGGTGGATTGATCATCCACCTGTACCTGCTTTCTCAACTGTTGATCACGCTGTGACCCTACTTTTTCCCTTTTTGATTCCATGGTGGTTTTCATGATACTCCCCACAAACCCATTTGCCACCGCTGATGTGCAGCCGCCTCGACTCTGAGCGCTTCGCAGTCAAGTGAAACAGCCGATGTTCAAACATTCTGTTCATCGCAGACTGTGCCACCTTTCCGTTCTTTCACTCATTCCCTCGGGGAATTGATGTAACTGCAAACCCATTGTCTAAGTGTGTGCCGTGTACTACAAGGTCGCCAGTTCTCATCTTCCAGCTCGCCAGATGCTCCGCGTACTAGAGTTGTACTACAAAGTCGCCAGTTCTCATCTTCCAGCTCCCCAGATACTCCCGCGTACTAAAGTTGTACTACAAAGTCGCCAGTTCTCAGCTTCCAGCTCCACAGATTGCTCCGCGTGCTAAAGTTGTACTACAAAGTCGCCAATTCTCATCTTCCAGCTCCCCAGATACTCCGGGTACTAAAGTTGTACTACAAACTCGCCAGTTCTCAGCTTCCAGCTCGACAGATTGCTCCGTGTACTAAAGTTGTACTACAAAGTTGCCAGTTCTCAGCTTCCAGCTCCACAGATACTCACATGGAGGTTCACAAAGTGCTGCGCTTGCCACGAAATCTGCACCTCCAGCTTCACAAAGTGCTGTGCCTGCCACGAAATCTCACCTCGAGCTTCACAAAGCACTGCACCTACCACGAATTATGCACATGGAGGTTCACAAAGTGCTGCGCCTGCCACGTAATCTGCACATGGAGGCTCACAAAGTGCTGTGCCTGCCACGAAATCTGCACCTCCAGCTTCACAAAGTGCTGTGCCTGGCACGAAAGTGCACATGGAGGTTCACAAAGTGCTGTGCCTGCCACGAAATCTGCACCTCGAGGTTCACACAGCGCTGTGCCTGGCACGAAATGTGCACATGGAGGTTCACACAGTGCTGCGCCTGCCACGAACTCTACACCTCGAGCTTCACAAAGCGCTGCGCCTGCCACGAAATCTGCACATGGAGGTTCACACAAAGTGCTACGCCTGCCACGTACTCTGCACATGGAGGTTCACAAAGTGCTGCGCCTGCCACGAAATCTGCACATGCAGGTTCATTGCGCTGTGCCTGCCACGAAGTCTGCACATGGAGGTTCACAAAGTGCTGCGCTTGCTACGTAATCTGAACATGGAGGTTCACAAAGTGCTGTGCCTGCCACGAAATCTGCACCTCAAGCTTCACAAAGTGCTGCGCCTGCCACGAAATCTGCACATGGAGGTTCACAAAGTGCTGTGCCTGCCACGAATTCTGCACATGGAGGTTCACAAAGTGCTGTGCCTGCCACGTAATCTGCACGCTGTGCCTGCCACGACATCTGCGCGTCAAGAAACAAGTGAAAACTCTAATGACAATGGAGCGACGATTCCGAGAATGATCCGACCATGATCCGAGCATGACCCGAGACCGTCTCGCACCCGTCGTTCCGCGGAGCTTCCCCGTCGAGGTTCGGAGAAGCATGGAGGCTCACAAAGTGCGTTGCCTGCCACGAAATCTGCACATGGAGGTTCACAAAGTAATGCGCCTACCACGAATTCTGCACATGGAGGTTCACAAAGTGCTGCGCCTGCCACGTAATCTGCACATGGAGGTTCACAAAGTGCTGTGCCTGCCACGAAGTCTGCACATGGAGGTTCACAAAGCGCTGCGCCTGCCACGTAATCTGAACATGGAGGTTCACCAAGTGCTGTGCCTGCCACCAACTCTGCACATGGAGGTTCACAAAGTGCTGTGCCTGCCACGAACTCTACACATGGAGGTTCACAAAGTGCTGTGCCTGGTGTGTGCTGTGCCAGTGGTGTATGATGAGTGGTGTATGATGAGTGGGGGATGATGAGTGGTGCATGATCAGTGGTGTATGATGAGTGGTGGATGATGAGTGGTGTATGATGAGTGGTGGATGATGAGTGGTGTATGCGCAGTGATGTATGATGAGTGGTGGATGATGAGTGGTGTATGATGAGTGGTGTATGATGAGTGGTGTGTGATGAGTGGTGTATGATGAGTGGTGTATGATGAGTGGATTATGATGAGTGGTGTATTGATGAGTGGTGTATGAACAGTTCTCGAATGTCCGTAACACGGAAGTTTCGTACACTAAACTTCCTTTGACTAATGCAACTCTGCTTGCTGCTTGCTGTTTGCATTCCTCCAACTACGGTTCACAGCAACCACAGTTTGCACAAAACACCGTTTATACCCCAAAACGAAAAACACGCTTTGCACCAACCACAGTTTACACCAAACCACGGTCTGCACCAACCACGGCTTACACCAAAGCACGGTTTCCACCAACCACGGCCTAGACCAACCGCAGCTGATACCAATTACGCTTTACACCAACCACGTTTTACACGAAACCACGGCTGTCACCCACCACCGTTTACACCAAACCGCGGTTTACACCAAGAAGGTTTGCTGCTGCTGCTGCTGCTGGGTGGTCTGCTGCTGCCGCCGCTGCTGCTTGGTGGTCTGCTGCTGCTGCTGCTGCTGCTGCTGCTGCTGGGTGGTTTGCTGCTGCAGTTGTCCGGCGCCCTGCTGCTGCCAAGCGCTATAGTAATTCAAAGTGGCTAGCTTTCGTTCACCCCAACGGCCTCAAGTTGGAAAAGTATCGACTGTGCTTGCGCAGTATACTGTATATGTCTGGTATATACCGCCAGGCACAAAAGCCTGGTATGAACACTGTAAATATGTTTGGTACGTTTGGTATATCTATATACTTGTGTTGATATGTTTGTTACACAGATTGATTCTCCCGCTAACCCTTTGGATGACCATGTCGAGTGCAAGAACTGTACACCCTTTTGATCCACAACATAGGGAAATGAAACCATGATAAACCATGAATATATTATTCTTACATGCTCACAAGATCTCGCAAGCAAACTCACCTCCCACTCCAGATCGCTGTCCTTTTTGGGGGATGTGTGTCCGTGTTTAAGGTGAGCTTCAAGATCTTCGTGACCAGTCATGGTTCATGTGCGTGCATGTCATAAATTGCGGTATACCAGGGCGCAAATCAGGGGATATGTTAGGTGGCGTCCTATAATCCGTAACGTCCTGCAACGGTCGGTCAACAATTACCACTGTTTTAGACTATGTTTAGAGATTTGGAGAGGGGTCGTTACTAACCACCACCATCCGCTGTCACAGTGAGTGGGATATACCCAATCATACATGGTTTAGAGCGGGGAAACTATGACGGTTCGAACGCTTCAAACTCATCACAAGGCCATCGTTGATGGTTCATGCCATGGACATCTCAGGACATATCAACGGCTTGCTGGATCCTCACGGGATTGTCCTTGACCATCAAGGCAAGCGTCCGCTATTCTTTACTGAAGAGTGAAGCACCCTCAAAGAATGAGACCCTATATATATATATATATACATATGTATACACACCTAGAATCCATTTGACTTTTGTTTTGATAGGAAAATACCATGTTTTGGCGCCAAAACAGGGGCCAATCAGGTTCCAGGTATATACCAGATGTGAGAGAGGCAAGGGTCGTCACACGATCGCCTGAAAGGCTCTACTCCTCGCGTGGCGTCCTCTCCTCATTGGAGCCCCTCCCAGCTCGAGTTTCGGGTTCAGTTTGGAACTCCGTTTGCATTTGGAGCACCTTGCCAAATTCTCACACCCCTGGGTTTTCAGTTTCACCTCTGAACACCATCCCAGCCGGTGTTGTCACCCGTTATACCGCGCCGGGCTCGTGTCGTTTGCTGGCGCCAGGGAAAATCTATTTCACGTTGCTGGGCACGGCCTACCGCGCCAAGGGTGGAGCCTCGATTAGCCGAAACGCCAAGCTGCAGCGCTGCAACTTGGATGGGAGCCCCTTGGCCGAAGCTGCAGAAGCTGCGAAGCTGGGCTGTGGCTTGAGAGGATGGATATCCATGGATTGCCTCCACGGAGTGTTGTTGCGGAAGTTGTTCATGAAGTTTACCCAAACGAGTCGAGAATGAAAAACAACCTGGAGGACTTAGCCGGCGAAGTTCGGCGCCTGATTGGAATGAAGGTTTTCCGTCCAAGTCTTCCACTGGACAACTTCACCATGTTTCACAGGTGTGTGTCAAGTGTTAGATTTTTTTTTGGTAGTACCCCAAGGCACTGTTCTGTTTGCATTTGACATCAATACTTTGGCATTTTGCCAAAAACTCGCACGCGGCATACATGCCTCTTCGCCCACAAACGCCCCCCCCAGCGAAGAAGTGACCCTGGTGACATGTGTGTTTTCTATTATAGCTCGCTTTTACAGTAGTTTTAGAATAGATGGCACAAGCCCGAAGAGGATTTTTAGATGGGGGTCTATATGAACCACCAAACTTGGGGATTGTGCCATCTACTCTGAAACCATCTGCAACCACAGAGTTCGGCAGATGGTCCACTTGGCTGAGGTCACTTGGAGATCCTCGCAGAGTTCGGCTCCACGCAACCGGTGTCAATCGCACTGAGCACCGTGAGTGAGACGGAAGAGCTTTGAGGCACGGAGGACATGCGACGTCGGCCGCGCGAGCCCTATAGGGCCTCGATGTCAAGGGCAAGATTTAGGCCCTTGGGTTTCATTGATTGATGGGGGGACGGGGGACGTTGAAACGACTCCCTTCTTGCAGTGGACTGTATGGGGAAGGTATGACTGGAAGGTATGTGGAAGTGGATTACTTCCCTGGCTAAACAAGGTCAGGCCTCGCCCAATCACTTCACCTCTTCGAAGTTGCCCTGATTGCCCACAGGTCGATATTGGTTTGATCAGTCTTCAGGCTCTAAGCTTGAAGCGTTTAGGTCAACCAATAGGAATTGCATGGATTTGCCCTTTTGCATCTTTGGCACGCTTTAAGCGTGCTGGGTGGGGGCCAGTTTGGTCGTGTTTCTCTCCTTGGGGTGCCCCATAGTTGTCAACAAAGGAATAGAATCACTGGCCTTTCGGGTCATCTGCAGACTATTGCTTCTTTTGTATAGAACACGTATGTTTGAGTTCTGTTTTATTCCTCCCATGGTGTAGTTGGCCAGCTCGCAGCGAATGTCTTGGAATGTCGACTGGGTGACACCGAGTGACCGAAACCAGCCGAAACTGGAAACCGAGTGGCCTTTCCGCTTTTTCGGGGTGTTCGCTGAGTAGCCGCCTTTTGTAGCTTGTGTCAATGACAAATTGCAAGTGATCATGGTCCAGTTCTTTTTTGGGATATGAAGGGGATGCCAATCCGGGACTCTCGCGACCACGAGGAGTCATGGTCGTCAGGCCATGTAACATCGACAATGGTCCCTTCTCACTGATGGACAAGATGCTTGCCGCGCTGATGTTTGGTACTTACTGCTTTGTGATAGCGGACAATCTTGAAGTCATCGCCATGAGCAATTAGCTGACATATGGCATGCAAGTTGCGTCGAGAGGAACATACGCTTCAAAACGGATGTGCGTCAAAAAGTGTCTTGAAGAACAGCCATGGCAGCTAAACGTCAACCCAACCTTGCTCGACACACTTTCACCTAAGATCACCTAAGATAATCCATGGCCAGTGTGCCGTGGGATGGGTTTACCATGTTTCACCAAGCAACTTTGCTTCATGTTTCGGCATAGCCACGTCGTGACCGACATCGAATGGCTCGAGGCGTTGCAGCTCCCACAAGGGCGGTCACTTCACCCATGCCGTTTCGACCACCGCTGGGGACGGAACAGGACGCCGGTGGACGAGAAAAGCACGTGGAGCGGTGGACCTGTGAAGGGCAAAGGGCTCTTTGATTCACAGTGATTTCAGGCTCTTAGGTTGGAGGCCATCGCTAGTAGGTCGGAGGCCATCGCTAGTAGGTTGGAGGCCAACGCTGGTAGGTTGGAGGCCATCGCTAGTAGGTCGGAGGCCATCGCTAGTAGGTTGGAGGCCAACGCTGGTAGGTTGGAGGCCAT